TTTACTGTATAAAATCTGAGTATGGGTACCAATTTCCATTTTCAGTGTTACAAGTGACAGTTATAACTACAGTAGCAGATCATTATTATGTCTTTCTTGTAATTATACTGACGTTTGTTTTCAACAGGAGTCGGAGGGCTTATTATATTCGCCATCACTGAATATAGGAAAAATATGGCTGGAAAAAAGAGACCTCCTGAACTTCAGTTAAAGTTAAAGATGGCCAAGGTACATGGATAGCCCTGAGTGATTTGTTGATTATCATAATTAAAACTAATTATAATTATTATTTATGATGCAATTGTATCCACTAGTGAACGCCCCTGAGACCTGAGGATGCCTGCTCATAGAGTTGCTTGCTAAAATTGTGTATCACGTGTTGGTGACCACTGGATGATGACAAAGTGTCTGCATGCTTAGGGAGGAGTGGGGAGGGTGTCCAATGATGGGAAGTGTCCGTCAGGGCTGGTTCAACTGGAAAACGTTTTTTTTTTTCTTTTTTTTTTTTAATGTTCATGCTGAGAATTTGTAGTCTAAGCAAATTGAATTCTCGCTTTGTACCCTCAGTTATTCTCTCAGTCAGGAGTAGACTGAGATTCAGAAATTACCTCATACTGATGGTGTAGGAAGTCTAACAAAGACTTGCATAGCCTCTCAAATTAGTTCTTATTTTTGTGATAATCACAGTCACTAACAGATCTCTGTGGAAGGAATTGAGAGTGTGAAAAATGCCATCTGTTTTCTCATAATAACAGTACTATATTGACTATTACCAATAAGAGTGTTATTTTTGTAGAAAAAATCCCTCAATGGTGACAAGGTGCAAGCCATCATATTGTTAAAGGAAGCTCTGGGACTGATACATGATTACCTGGAGGAAATTAAAAAATATTCTCCTAAAGACTTAAATGAACAGGAAGGCAAGGATAAGATCAAAATACAAAAGTACCTAACATATGTGTTGGATGAGGTAAGGCAGCTATTTGAGTTATTTTACCTTTAAACACTTTAAGTCCAATTCTTAAGGTCTGTTCTTCTAATGAATTATGACACAGTTCTTTTAATTTGAGTTCGAGAAATTGGTGATACTTAATATCATTAGACATTTTTAAAATAACCAAATGATAAGTGGAATTTTGATGTGTGTAGAATGAATTGAATGAAGAAGCATTCACATCAAATAACCACAAAAAAAATTTTCTGAGCCCCCAACCAGAGTCAAATCCATGACCTTGTGGGTACTGTTGAATAACAAAAAACACTTAGCTACAGGAGACTCTTGTCAAGCCAGGTCCTAACTTGCTATTGTCTTATATATGAAATAATTGTTCTGTCTTTATTGCAAACTGGGATTTAATATCATGTTGAAAATTATGATAAATGCAAGAAATGATAGAAACCTAATTTACAGCCTCACTGAACATGAGTTTCCTATAGCTAATTAAATAATCAAACTTCTAATTTGTTCCTGGAATCTTATAGGTTTGACCATTTTTAGGGACATAAATTTTCTGAGTAGTTAAACCTGGGAACATGCACGTTGTCAGTTTTTCAAGCTATCTTTGATAAGTTTCATTATTCGTGTCACATGTTTCATTGTCATCATTGTTAATAATTATTGTTAGTAAGTAGTCTAATTTACACCTGAGAAAGATTGAAATTTGATTATCACAGGCATGATGCATATCCTTTACCGGAGTCAAACTCATAGCCTTTCATAGACCGTCAGGTTTGATGCTCTGTATTGGGCTCATGATGAGCTCATGATGAGCTAGTTTATTTACCGAGTTCACATATGACTCGCATCCTATATACTGTTAAGATCAACGATGTCCAATTGTTCTCTGCAGAGATAAAGGAAAAAATAACTAAATTTAATGTTGATAACTTTCAAGATTGAGATGATTTAACATGTTGTGGAATTGTTAATTTCAGCTATTAAAGGCAAATTTATTTGGTATGTTATAATGATGATAATAATTTACTGTTTTACCTGCAGTTAGCAAATCACACATTTGAGCTTCAAAGATGGAACGAGGTACAGCATATACAAGTTCTTCTAATAAAATAATGGTACTTTGTAAATATTAAAATACAGAGTGTAGTTCATAAAAAGCAGTAAACTGTTATTTATTTATGGTTTTTGTATCTCACTGTAATTTAAACTCAGCAGGGCCAAACTTGGTAGGCCTGAATGTAGCAATGTTGTTAAGAAGCAGGTTAGAGCACAGTACTCAGATCGCTAGACTATCTTGAGTTGTTATGTGGTCAATCTGAGTTTAACATATTGGCTTGAGGATTATCGTGTTCTTAAGTTGACAGTGCACCAGAAGTAGTAATGCATATTCTATGGAAGTTGCATTGGCTATTTAAGAAAGACATGAAAATGTGTAACACTGCATTTTGAGATGAATTAATTCATAAAATGGCTATGTACAAATCAAATTAATAAACTTCCCATTTGAGACTGTGTGGTTCCAGAAAATATCCATACCCAGATGCCAGCTGCTTCATGTCATATTTACAGTCTGAACAAAAATAAAACTGGGAGTATTTCTGTATAAAAATGATAATGATTGTGAAGCTGGTGCCTTGTACTTCTTTGACAACAACAAGAAGAAGAAGAAGCTTTATTTGTACTGTGTCTACTAATATCTTTTGATGAGCCCAAATTCAACCTGTCGTTGAATATCTTTGTGACTCATAGTAAACTTATTTAACATAATGTTATGTACTGAATGGAACTTTCTGTTTCAGGCTGAGCACTATTTCCGCTTGTTACTGAGAGACCTTCTGTCATCAGAAACTCCAAAGGTTAGTCAATGTGCATTTGAAACTCGATCAGCATCAGCTTCATTGTATCTTTGTCAGTGAAGTATCTAACCTTCATGATCTGTGCACCTTATCAAGCTATAAGTGTTTTGAGTTTGAGCTCTTACAATCTCTTCAGCATTTTGTAATGGAAATATTAGATTTGTTCTTCAGGATTTTTTTTACCATAATTTGTTAACTAACTTCTGAACATTATGTCCACACTAGGAAGATGACAGTGTTGTCGAAGTGTCACTCAAACTCTCCATATCATGTGCACACCAAGACAAGTAAGCAAAAACTTGTCAAGTTAATATATTGTCAGAACATCAACATCAAAATAAGAAACTTTTCAATCTATAATGTTTTTCATGACGTTGATTTATCTAATAAATCTTGGACATTTGGATAGTAACATTTTCTTTTGCACCCCTTTGACTTACTGTGCCTTTTAATATTAGGCAAACTCTGAAGTTCAAATTCTCACACACTGCTGGGAGCCATGCCAAGCAGAACCATGCAAAAACTTCATGGGTGGGTGGGTGGGGCATGTCAGGCAATGGTGGATGGCAAAACAAAAACTGAACCTTGTACAAGCCACGTGACCTGAAACCCCCCACACACTTGTACTCAGACTCCCAGCTGTGTGTGAGAAAAACATTTTCTACTTCATTCATTTCTCAGCCAGGGGAAAGCCACACACCTCACTGACGATTGCCTTTTTGACTACTGTCAATCATAATATTACAACTATGACCAATGAACCTTATAAAAGGAAAAAAACAAAATGGATCAAAATCTACCAATCACAACCACAGATGTGACCTTTTGAACCTGATGAAGCAAACTTCTGCTTTCTGAGAGGGTCCACTTAGATGATATGACAACAGTGAAACACCAAACCATTGATTGACTAGAGTTTGAGTGTTATTCAAAGATGCAGCAAGGATAAAAATAATAATAATTATTATTATTATTGGCATCTTTCCATGACATGCAAATATAGAACATTTTTCAGTTGACTATCAAAAGTAATCAGACAATTACATTTTGGTTTTACTACAGTTTGAGATTGGCTGAGTAGTCTAATTGGCATTACTAAGTAATTGGTTTGGATTTGGTTTTAGTAGCATGACACTCAATTGAAAGCCACTCTGATATTATAAATACCATTAATTATGTTACTACTTGCAGGCATGATTTAGCTTTACAAGGTTTTCAGTGGACTACTGACACCATACAAAAGAAAATTGATGAGATTCCAAATGCATCAGACAACAGGTCAGAAATGTTAAGGACGTTAAGCAGACCTCCTAACATTTCCTGGCAAAAGAATGACGAGGAAATGATTTAGACCAGGATATTACATGATATCACTAATTTTGTAGTCTCATAGCATCTGGAGTACTTTCAGTAAGTGTGGCCTCTGTAGTCCAGCCCACACTTTTTTAGTTTAATGGAATAAGATTTGAGATCCAAAGGATAAAAAACTGGAAACTGGTCAAGAACCTTTTTAGCAACTAGCATTTGACACAGTCCTTTAACTACTGAGACAGTTAAACGTCTAAATTCAGAGGACTGCATCATGCACAAAAATTAAGGCACTGATTCAATTCAGGATCTTTCCACTAGGTTTTGAGATATGCTTGTTAGGACATCACTGTAAGCATCAATAAGACAGGCATATAAGTTGATAGTTTGTTTAAAGATATAATATGCTTCTAACTAGCGTTTTTATGGAGATTAACCTCCTTCCACACATTTCCCCCACCCACCCCAAAACATTCTTCAGAGAGTTTGCTGAACAACACGTAACATTTTTGAATTGTGCATCCTTTTTGCTGTGGTGTTTTTTAAGAGCTTCTGACCATCTGTATGTACATTTATTTCAGTAAGGCACTTTTAGGCGTGTGTCTGGAGGCGTGGGGTACCTACCTCCTGTCACAGGACCAGCCTGCAC